AGTCATATGCAAATAAGGGCAGGGCGGGGCGGGCTCCGGTTGGCCCCGAGCCGGCCGGGGGCGGGACCGCGGTAGGAGGGGGGCAGGGAGGGCGCACTGCAGTAAAGGCACCGAGCCAGGGGGGCGGTTCGGGGCGCCGCGCTGCGGAGGCCCGGGGTTGTGTGGTGCTGTGTGTGTCCAGTCCGCGCAAGGAGCAAGCTCACGCACGGCTCAGCCAGCCTCCTGCACGCCCGCCTGGGCACGCCTGGCCCCGCTGGGCAGACAAACTGCGTGCAGGGTTGGGCGAGGCATCCCTGAGCCCTCACCAACTCTCTCTCTCACACACACACTCAACACAGACGTACACAGACTTTCGTGCCACACCCATAATCTCTTACATATCCCACGGGCACATATACCCTGTCTTACACCCACATTGTCACAAAGTCACACCTCACACACCTGCTCATATGGATGTTCTATTGCCCGGTCCATCACTCCCCACCCACCATCACACACACCCATCCTGTTCACATCCCCATTTCATCCATACCCTGTCACAGATGCCTCACCAACGCATATCCTCATCACACTCCCACCAGCCCACATGAATCATACAGACAACATATCAAAGAGGCACGCCTTTCAGCACAGCCACTGCTTGTCCACTACACACACCCATCCCTCCCATACAACCACACATCCCTCCAACTTCACACACTCTCATATGGCCTTCCTGGCACCCACAAAGTACCCCTATCCCCAACACATACGAACTCTCATAAACACCATCAAATTGATCCCATACTCTGTATAAACTTACCCACCTGGGCACTAACTACTTCAGTACCCAGGCCCATCAGGTATAGAGGGACTCTTGGCCATCACCACTATTCAGCTACCCAGCCTGACATTCATCTGCCACTTGGGACCCTCTACCTAAGGCAGGGTGCCACAGAACACCACCATGGATGCCCCACCATGCTTCTCTCCTGAGAAAAGGGGCCAGGAAGAAGTAAACTAACACTGGGACTTCTGTGTGCTGGGAGCATGTATGTATTATCTGGTTCATTGAATCCTCACAGCCACCTAGGAAGGTAGGTATGCTTTATTATACCCGTTGTTCAGGGGGGAAAAATGAGCCTCAGAGAGACTGAATAAGTTGTGCAAGATCATGCAATAAGGATGAACCAGCTCTTTGCTCCAACTCAAGTGCTCTTTCCATTACTGAAGACTTAACATCAGGGTAGACATGGACAGAGTCACTCCAAGCAGAGGCCCATGAATGTAGTCAATGATACAGACTGGTGAATCATAGAAAGGTGAGGGGGCATACAGGGAGACCCAGGCAAGGCTTTGGAGTCCACCAGGCAGAGATGCAGAGGCCTTGGGTCACCCAAGATGGGCTCTGGGGCCACACCCAGTAGAGGCAGAGGTCTGGGGTCACCCTTGGGCAAGTAAAGGTTGCACAGGCTCAGGTAGACCAAGACTGGGCTCCTACACAAGTTGGGTTGTCAACAGAAGCCAACAAACCCTCTTTCCAGCCTGCCCCATCCACTGAAAGAGCTGAAGGCATGGAGAGAGGGCAAAAACTGGGTAACTTGAGCCCAGAGGGAAAGAGAAGGTCTATAACCCTCTGACCTCCAGAGACTGCAGGGCGAGACACTTGGCTGTGAGCCTGCGGGGGGCTACCAGAGGGACTATTAGGTGACTGCCCCCTCCTTCCTATGCAGCCCCAGATTCAGACCCTCCATTACCTCACTGCCCCAGGGACTGCAATGTGAGGCAGGAATTGAGGCTGAAATCAATGTGGCCCGCTATCTCCCCACCGCTGCCCCCTCCACTCCCCACCGGTGAGTGAGTCACCTACTGACAAGTTAACCCCTTCCCCACTGCAATGCAGCCCAAGGACAGAGCTCAGAGGAGCTCTGCCCCCAGCTCCCCCATTTCTGCTGGGGGAGGAAAAAGAGCCAGACATGGCACAGCAGGGAAAGAGGGCCCCATGCATCTGGGAGGGTTGCACATCTGGTAGAAGACACAGTGCCCACGGAGGAGGGATGGGAAGAGGCCCCTTTCGGGGCAGGGAATAACCAAGTGGGGACCCAGCCTGGCAGGGAGGGGCGGGAATCTGGGCGGGAAGGGCCCCCCTGTCCTGGGCGCTGGGCCAGCCCTATACTTAGCTTCTATTGTTCAGGGTGGAGGAACCCTGGGTGGGGGTGGATTAGGAGCAGGGGAGGGAGCAGGTCCTATCCCTAGACAGCTCCCTCTCTCCTGCCATCCCAATCCTGGGGCCTCCCTAGTTGGAAAAAGCTGGGGAGGTTTCCCCAAACCAGGGCCTCAGCTCCATCTGAGAGAGGGTGTACACCATCCTTCACTGAAGACAGGTACAGAGTAGGACTGCGATGGCAGTCACCTTCTGCACCGACCCCTAACCAACTCCACAAAAGGACTGCCCCTAAACAGCCCCCACTGTACCACCACACCCCAGCCTGGGGATAGGGAACCTAGACGAAGACACCAACAGCCACCCACAGCCACCCATTACAGGCCAAGGCCTGCCCAGAGGCCTAGGGCGAGCAGCCAGGGATGCTGACAGACTGAGAGACGGGCGGACAGGCTCTGAACTCACGGGCCCCATTTATTGAGCCCGTGAGGCACCGCACCCTTGACACCGCCTGCGGCTCCCCACCCTGCACTCCAAGCCCGGGCCCCTGCCTCAGCTCACCATCCCGGTGTCCCCAGCTCCCCTCACCCGCTCTCCACATACACACCCACCCACCCACTCCGGGCGGCGTCGGCGACGGCCAGGGTTGCCTGGGGAACGAGCCCAGGATTGGGCTGGCGCGGCTCAGCAGGGATGGGGGGCTAAAAATAGCGCCGGGGTGAGTCAGTGTGAGTGGGGCTGGGGTAGGCAGGGGGACAGGAGGAAAAGAGAGACTGGGGAGAGGTGTGGGGGAGGGTCCCCAGGGACTGGGAGATGGGCGTGATGCGGG